CTTTATTAAGATCAAATATAGGTAGATTGTAAGAATCCAATATAAATATATTTAATAAGGCATCTTATATGATTTAATATCGATATCATTTTGCCCAATCCATATAAAGACATTTAATAAAGCACTATATAAAACTTGATATAGATCTTTATATGATCTAAATTAAATCTTTATAAGGTTTTAATAAAAAACTGAATCTTTATTAAAATCTTATTATTATCTTATTAACTTTTAATAAAGGTTAAATTAAACTATATTAAAATTATATTAATTTTTTTTCACGGGACGTTTTACTAGTAATTATATTTACAACACGTCTTACTAGTAAAATGTACACCCTCAGAAAGGATTTCTGTTACCGAGACAAATATATTTTTGACGCATTTAAGTAAATTTCTCACAACGTCATTTAGTGTAAAAATAAGACGACATCACAATGAAATCAATCATTCTTATTCTCCTCGAATTAAAAAAGTTTGACTTACTATATTGAGACAAGAGTGAGTTTATATATTCTTGCGTTTAGAATAAATTTTCCCTCCATCTTGGCGCCACGATATTCGACAAAAGACGATACCATCATTTTAATCTGGATTTTAGAATTTCTCATTGAAGATTAAAATATTCCTTTCTCGATAACAAATGCTATTGGCGCTATATCGATTCTATTTTATGGTATTTTGAAGTGTAATAGCATTGGATCTGGAAATTTTTTCTGTGGGTGTACTTGTATCTGAAATACAGATCTACATCTTCATTTAAAAAAAACACTTTCCAAGATACGACCGATAATTTTTTAATGTTCAACCGCGTGTTTCGTGGTCCTGGCAATTCCTTCGACACTGCACCCTCAGAGAGGATTTCGAGTTACCGGGACAAATATATTCTTGACGCATTTAAATTTCTCACAACGTCATTTAGCGTAAAAATAAGACGACATTACAATGAAATCAATCATTCTTATTCTCCTCGAATTAAAAAAGTTTGATTTACTATATTGAGACAAGAGTGAGTTTATATATTCTTGCGTTTAGAATCAATTTTCCCTCCATCTTGGCACCACGATATTCGACAAAAGACGATACTATAATTTTATTCTGGATTTTTAAATTGCTCATTTAAGATAAAAATATTCCTTTCTCGATAACAAATGCTATTGGCGCTATATCGATTCTATTTTATGATACATTCAAGTATAATAGCATTGGATCCAAAAATTTTCTCTGGGTGTATGGTAAATTTTCAAAAACTCTCGTAATGTTATTGAAAATGCCACGATGACATGATGTTCAGGGTAAATTTTAAAAGGAAATTCTCTCCTCTTGAAAAAGAGGAAGCGTTTGACTCGCGATACGCGGTATCGATAACACTCTCGGTTTTATCTCTCAGATTTCCGTTAATCCGGCTTTTCGGCCTAGGTGGAGACCATCGGTGATAAATATATGGCGGTGAGTGGATTGCCGGAACCCTGTCGTTGTCATGCACGATGCATCGCTCGTCTAGCGCTGGACATGATGGATCTCGCGGCGGATGAAGTGCAGATCGATGGGGAGCCCGTGGTATGTACAAGCTGTCTGCGCTCCGCCGGCTATACTTTGTTACATGACTATGTAGCGAGACTCTTTGATCTGAGAGGAGTTGACAGTATAAGTCAATTTAAGATTGGACGTTAAACGTTATACGTTGTAGCGGCTACATCGAGAGAGTTGCCGTTAAAGGAGTTATCGAGACAAGTTCGTGTGTCCGCCGACTTTTGTAGAAAGTTGAAATCTTCTTCGTATCTTTATACAGTTAGATGTTATATATGTATACATACGGTGTATATATATATATATGTCGTGTGCACGAACCGTCTGCAATTTCCCGAGGGACAGATGGCATGTCTCGCTACTATTTTTGTATCTCTTTGCGAAGAGAACTAACTTCTTTCTCTCCGAGTGTAATGCAATTCTCACGTTACTTAAATATTTAACAACGGATTACGGTTAGAATGCTCCGTGCAAATTCACGATTCAATTCTGGAGAGAAAGGATAAAATTGCTGCAATTTTAATGAATTTCAACTTCAGTGCTGGAGAGACGCGTGGCACAAAGAAAAGGCGACAATCGTCGCGAGATATTTTTCCGCTTTTATAATTTTAATAATCGAGAAATTTTTGATAACAAGACGTGCTTATGGAAAATACTGTATGTCGCAGGGACGCGAGAGAAAGGCATGTTCCTCTTTTAAACTTCTTAAAAATTGGTATCTAACGCTACGTTTATTGTTATCTTGCAGAAAATTACAATTGGTATACACAGTGGAGAAGTTGTCACCGGTGTAATCGGACATCGCATGCCTCGTTACTGTTTGTTCGGAAACACCGTGAATCTTACAAGTCGAACCGAGACCACCGGCCAACCGGGAAAGATCAATGTGTCGGAAGACGCTTACAGGTAAATTATTATGCACGATGGAGCATATTTAAAATTCGGGTTCTCATTTTTATTTGTAATCATTTTTGCCGCACACACTCTCTCTCTCGCCCGGTTCTTCTCAGACTGAAGAAAGTTGCTAACGGATCGCTACTTCGTTTTCACGAACGTGTACATATTACATTGTCTCTCACGGCATACTTTCCGTTATTCTTAAATGTTTCCGATACCCGCGTCACGAGTGTATTCCTCGCAAAATATTTCTCCAATTCCCAAGATTCACTAACGTGGCGCCATTATACGACGCTATCGCCCGACCTTCTGAACCTCGGCAGACCTACTTGAACGTCTCGCGCGATTTCGCTCTCGTATATCAAAAATTCTGTGTGAAAGATGACACGCATTTAGATATAGGATTCACATCTATCAAAGTCTTGGTCATAGTTTCGCTTCACTCTCTCCATATATTTCGCCCAACTCTAATCCAAGATTCGAACTTGCACGGTTGAAAGACTTGGATGCGCGCATTCGCTGGATTCTGCGGCCGAATCGACATAGAGCATATTTTATCGAATCGCAGTGAAACTCTAAGACCTACGCACGCGCGCGAACGCGTGGTGAAATATTTCCGCGATTCATTGCCGACACCGGACGATTCGACGAACGCGAACGAGATTCTCCTATCAGTCCTGCAGCAGATCCAGGTAATCTCTCAGAGACCCCGGAATCTGCAGTTTCTTGATGCCACGAGGCAGCGCCCAATTGCTGCGGAGGGTCTCGCGGATTCGGCAGCGGCACAGGTGCCTGAGCTCCGCCGGGCGGATCCCGCTGCGCTCCGGAGGTATCAGATTTTGACTGGCCAGACTGGGATATCGCTCGTACAAGGGCACGCTGAGGATACCGCTGCGAGCGGCGATGTGATCGGGCGTTCTGACGCAGGCGACGGTGACGGTTCGCAGTAGCAGCTTCAGGCACGCGAGCAGGTGCTCCGGATAAACGGCTTCCTCCCGGTCGGGATGCGCCTCGAACTCCGCGAGCTTCGTTAGGATCATCTCCATCGGCGACGGGGCCAGCTCGTCGGACTCGACCGATGCGCCGTGGCGCAACATGATCAGCAGGATGTCCGGCGCGCCGTGTTGGATCGCGACCCTCAGTGGCAGAACCTGTCCGTACGACTCCATGGACACGTCGATGAAACGTCTCTTTATCGGCGAGGACTCGCAACGGTACTCCAGCCGGCCGCTGGTCGCGTGATCCAAGAAGTACACCAGAGCCCGGATGTTCTCCTCGCGGTCGTCGAAGTCGCACTTCCAGCCGGACAGAAAGTGCGTGACGCGCGTACCGAAAATCGCCCCGACGAGCAGTCGCTCGAACGTCTTCTCGCAGTAGAATATGTCGTTGAGCAGCCGGCAGACGATCGCGTTGTTGCTGACGCTCCAGTCGTAGCAGAGCTTCGCCGCCACGTACAGGACGTTGTGGAACTTGCCGAGCAGGCAGACCGAGCCGTTCTCCATCATGGTGATATTGTGATAACGCAGGGCCGAAAGAACGATCCTCTCGCACACGTCCTGTTTGTCGAGGTTCTCCGCTGGAAGTATCAAGCAGGCGTGATTCATCGTCCCATCGCCGGTGAAACGGCGAGTAAAAAAACTCGTGGAATTCCACCGCGCAAAACGCGGGCGGGACGGAGATGCAAATTATCCTGGAATTCGTGGCGATGCGTTTGCGGCGCGTGGTATTTTTCACCGTTACCGCAACGGCATTGGCGAAACAACCAAGACAAATAGAAAGGATTAGGCACGGTTTAATGTAACGGTAAGATCATAATGGGCGGCGATATCTTTGCGTCTTCCCCGGGCATTCCCGTAGCGCCGCGGAGACGGATAAGAATTTCGCGGGGATAAAACGGTGCGCGCGTCGTTACTGTCGGGACGGCGCGTCGTCTGCGGGCGGATGTACAGGAATTCTCTGTCGGACGCGCGGATAAAATAAAATAACGCCGTACTAATGATTATCGATCCCCGACTGCGGCCCATTTGTCACTTACGCGACTCAAACGCGCGCGCGGGGGACGACGATATCATAAATCTCGTTACCTTCCGCACAACTGTTTATCACATCCGTGAAATAATTGACCAGCTCGCGACGTTTGTATCGCGACGCTAGGCAACTGCGTTCCATTTCCGAGAACAGTCTATCGAAGTAACAATCTATCAGTACTTCCATGACTTTCGAGTGGCTTTGATTAAGCGGCAACGCGCGACATTCTAAAGAAATTCGGCGCGCGATTTCCGGACGGCGGGCAAATGTCGCGCAACGTTCGTCGCAAGCGTTCACGTTTTAATGATTAACAGCGGAAGAAACGAGCCAGCATACGACAGGGCTAATTCGATTAGATGTGAAATGCATTCTGAAGGCTTCTTCGGTATACCCTGCCTGAAACAATCTACATCCGTACTGGAAAAAGCTGGTGGGCTTCTTACGTTTCATATATGCACTCTGGGAGAAAAAAGACAGTTAGCAACCCATTTCGGGGCCCACAATTAGTAATCGAATTACTTGGATTGTTCGTAACACTCTACACTGATGAAAAAATATCTGATCCAAAAAAATATATTACTTTACTCAAGAAAATTATTCATTAGGTGGCTTCTAATAGCTCATTAACTTAAATTAGATGATTGAGACATATATAATGAGATTTTTCACCTTTTTCCCGGGCGCTTTATTAATTGAATATCGCTGGTTCGATAGAGGGTCTTACGGGAACTTTCGAAAAGCACATAATAAATAATGAAAAAACTATCAAAACTTGAAACACGTTTCTGCAAAGTTTGAAAACGATCTGCTTTGATTGACTCAACCTTTCAAGCTTTACATTTTCATCAAAGTCAAATCCTAATCACAATGAACAATTACTTTAAGCTATGATTTCTTATTACGTGTCGATTAGAATTGTTGTTCTTCATTTCAATTGTCTGATTTCTGGATTAACTTTTGGAAGAGACGATTCCTCCAATGTATACATCCTTAAAAGTGAATATTTATAATGGCGGCAAGATTTTGAAAAATGCTTATATTATTTCTTTCAGGTACCTCTGTATGCCCGAGAACCAAGACCCGCAGTTTCTTTTGGAATACAGAGGTCCTGTCTCAATGAAGGGAAAATCCGAGCCTATGAACGTGTGGTTCCTGTCCAGAGAAAGAGAGCTGACATCGTAAACTACGGTCGGCAATGAATTTTATAGCAATAATTTCGAGAGATCAGTTTGGGGATTAGAATGAATGTAATAAAATTCGTATATTTATTCAAAAGAAGAGAGCTAATAATTAGGACGACGTTTCAACAGTGAATGTGTTTCGTTCAGGGCACTTTTGTGATCGTGTACCATATGTTTAATTATATGCGGCAAAGTTTATAAAGAGTTTATTGTATCGGAACATCGCCGATGTTCTATGATCGTTCTCAAGTGTAAAATCGAGCGTCGACAGGCTTCGTCCTCGGCTGGCTGTTCAGCAACCATGAGTGTACAAGGCAATCAAATATAATCGTTATTTATTTGGCGACATTACGGCGGTAAAAGTTCCTTTCCCGTTTCGCGTGACCCACGTCGCCCAACAGGTCATCGATAACCGCTTCCAGCGTGGAGGTCACAGACGCGAAATGTCCTGCCCTCTCAGTTGGGAAAAAAGTCAACAAGAATAACCAGATGGATAGCCCACGCTACGCTCGCAGGTAGAAGGTGTAACGGAACTTGTTCTAGTCCCCTTTAAGCCTCGTACACGTTGCAAGGTCGCACTAATAGATTCTACAAGCGTTCTGTTTGATCTTAAGGACGCCACGTCCGCTTCTTCATTATGTAATACTGTTTTGTAAAATTTAAAAAGTGAAGTATGTTCAAGTATCTCCGTAAATGAGCCTCTATTTGTTCCTCTGTAAAATTATTTACAGGAGAAGTTTGTAGTAATTATGATAATTGACTGTTAAGCTGGATCTTCAAATCGCTACTTTTATTAGCGGATGATTACCATTTGATCACAAGCATCAAAACAACGAGTTTCAGAGCTCATGCGTACAGCTGTATCTCAATTTAACGGGTAAATGAATAATCATTACTGACCAATTTTAGTGCATGACGAGCATTATCCAATGAGTAGGCAAAACACGCTGTCATTACCAAATGATATGTCCTCGATTTACGCGCGGTTTTCTTAATCATTACTATGGAGACCTATTAGTTTCTATGTGTGTAATGGAAAGAATTTTTTCCGGGGTCCCTTAAAACTTGCCTTTACACCCACAGAAAAATTTTTCGGATCCAAGACTATTGCACTTCAATGTACACTGTAAAAAAATATGTAAAATTACATACATAATAAGTGTAGCGATTACACCATTATATAAATGTATATAATTTTACAACAAATTTGGTTTTACCTTGTTTTGTGTAAATATTTGTTCATACACGATGAAAAGAAACAAAAAATTGTAAAATTTACACAATCAAAAGCAAGCAGTTTACTTATTATGTAAGATAATAATTTTACTTACAAGGAGTAGATTTACTGACGTATGCAAAAACCTTTAACAGATAGTCGCAATATTACCCACTATGATAATTGTAATTTTACATGTAATTTTTTTACAATGTATCATAAAATAGGATCGATATAGCGCCAATCATATTTATCATAGAGAAAGGAATATTTTAATCTTAAGTGAAAAATTCTAAAATCCAGGATAAAACGATAGTATTGTCTTTTATCGAATATCGTGGTACCACGTTGGAGGGAAAATTTATTTGAAACTCAAGAATATATAAACTCACATTTATATAAGTTACTTTTGTCTCAATATAGTAAGTCAATCTTTTTCAATTCGGTAGAGGAGAATAAGAACTATTGATTTTATTTTGGTATTGTCTTATTTTTATACTAAATGAGGTTGTGAGAGAGAAATATAAATGCGTCGAGAATTTTTTTGGTCTCGGTAACAGAAATCCTTTCCGAGAGTGTAGATTTTAATTTAATTTTAATTTCAATTTTAATTTCAATTTTAATTAAACAAGATTTTACATATGTACGCGGAAAAAAAGATGCTGAATCAACAAGATTAGTGAGATAAAATTGTTGAAACAACATCAGTATTAATGAATGAAAAGCATCAGATAGTTGTCTTAATAATCTTAAAATTAAAATCGATAGCAAATACAATTCAGTAATTCACTCAATTGCATTTGCAATAGATTTTCATTTTTAAACTAAATAATTATTTATGTTTGTGACAGCCCGTGACGCTAACTTTTCCGTGTACAACGAAGAAATTCTTAGAAGGCGGAATATTAGATCGATAAGACGCATTTATGCTGGATGATGAGGAAATGGACCACGGGTCAACTAACAATCGGCAACGTTTAATGTAAAATCAGCCAAATCTTCAATACATCCCACACAGCACAGATGGTTGCAGTTACATTGCAGAAACGTTGCAATCTTGCAGAGACATTGCAGGGATATAAAATTGCAAACTTTCGATAGCAATATTGCAGCAATGTTTCAAAAATAATGAAAATGCTATACTTTCTATTTAAAAAATTTTTCTAATTACGAGAATTTTCTAATGTTATTTTTGTTGATACCAATAATGCGCGAATTATTAAGTACTTGACCAGTGCGATGTTGCTCGCAATCTCCATCTATTGCGAAGCGATATGACCTCCTTAGGTTGCTTCGCAATAACTTGCTATTATGCATTGAAAAAGGCTTGTGTACAACAACAAATTATTCCAAAAATATTGCACTGCAACATTGCTGTAATGTTGCATTGCAATCTCTCTGAAGGCAGACATTTCAACGTTGCTGCAATCCTCCAGAAACGTTGCAGCAATGTTGCGCAACGTTGCTGCAATATTGCAATCTTGCAATGTAACATTTCTGCAATCTTCCTGCAATCTTTCTGTGCGGGATATTTCTTTCTATTCGCTCGACATTTGTCATCGGTGTCTACGCACAAAAGACTGTCGCAACATTGTTGCATCGGCGACGATCGCGGAATGTTCGGTGAATATCGAGCGTGGTCCGCGGGCGATCGCGCTTTCCATTCACACGGCCATTCACGGGGCACAGCCGCGTGCACGGATTACGTCGAGGCGGTCTCGGTAAAGAGGAGAGGAGCATCGGTGGCGAAATTTCGGCAGGTGCACGCGAGATCGTGCCGTGCGTGCACGAACACCTACGCTCCGCTCTCGGCGCGTCCACGTGAAAGGCGGTGAACGGTAAAGAGTCGGGTATTTAAATGAGGAACCGGATGGTCGATCCAGCGGGCGGCTCGGTAGAGGACGCCACGACCGCCACTTAGCCCAGGCAGGTACCTGTCCGGCGACTGCAAGCCGACTTGGAAGAGAACCCGTTCCCGTCCTTCCACGGTTCTCGCCTTTCTCCCCCTCCTCCGCCCCCCTCCCCTACCCGCCGGTGCTCCGCACACCTTCCTCGTAGACGGCCCGATGGTTTCCCACTCCCGCTTTCGCCTGCGTGCCCATGGTCCCGGGGCCCGACTCCAGTCCCCACCCGGACCGCGAAACTGCATGAGTGAGTGTCAGCGGCACTCAGTACAGTTACTGACGTTCCGCGCTGTGAACGATCGCCCGTTGATCGTCGTCGCCGTCGTCGTCGTCGTCATCGGCTTTAACGCTCCGAGTCGAGTGCAATCGAGTTTTACTATGCGCCGCTCTTGATACACATATGCGGTCTGTAAGTGGTGCTATCCTCATCTCCGCGGTCCCGGACGACCCGGTCTCCTCTCTCTCCCCTTCATCTCACCGACGGTTTTCTCTTTCTCTTTTTGCGTGCCGGTCCCGTACGTTCCGCCGGTCTCTCTTTCTCTCTCTCTCTCTCTCTCTCTCTTTCACGGCGCGCGGCAGGTAGTCCGCGATCTCGCATGTGGCCACAGGTGCGCGCAAGGTGCTAACGTTTTCTCGGCGAGCGGAGCCGCGGGGCCTCACGTTGCTCGGCCGATCGACCTGATTCGGACGGCGGCGCGATTCGTCAGGCTCTCCCGCCGATCGTCCTTGCGCGCGCCGGACCTAGAACGGGGCGATCGACGAGTCACGGTCGATGCCCGGAATTTCGGCAATGCCGGGCCAGGCGATCGGTGCGCTTCGTCCGCGCGGCTACGTGCAGCCTTAATCGCGAGTCTCGGCGTGCGAGATTAATTCACGAGTAAAGTATACATGTACTTGTGCGGGGACAATCGCAACGTGGCCCACCGTGATCGAATGAAAACAGTCTCGCCGACGTCCTGAGACTCGTGGAAACCTCGGCGACACGTGGCGCGAATTGAAATTTGCGACTTGATTGCTCCGACCGTGCGAAGCGAGCACCGGTGCTCGCTAATTTAGAAGTTAAACGTTGAGGTTGGCGATACCGAGGAAGCAATGCTAGTCGGACGTTTCAATGTACGCGCCGCGAGCACGAGTGAGCGAGCGTGCTCGCGAGCGTAGATGAAAAGCGGTCCGTTCCAACGGCACTCGACTTTGATCGAGTGTTATATTGTTCCGAATTGCAGTTGTTTCAGAGCGAGCGGTCTGCGCCGCGTTTGCGGTGAATTAATATCGCTGTAAATCGCGCTTAACGGCGCGCGGCCATTTCGGGGTGGGCGGCTTCGTCCGCGCGATTAACGCGATCCCTTAAGGGGATGCTGGAGTGACTCTGCACTTCTGCACCTTTCTAACCTAAAAACTGTCAGTTCGCGGAAACATTTGTGTAATATACAAATTAAATGGCTTACGTGTACAGATCGAAAGCAGCTTGCTATTCCGGCCAAATGAAAGAACAATATGGCATCACTGAAACTAAGTTTGTAAGTCTAATAAGAAATAATAGTGAGCAACACATACATACAGTACATGTAGTATATGTATTGCTCACTATTATTTTTTATTAGACTTACAAACATAGTTTCAGTGATATCATATTGTTCTTTAATTTAGCCGGAATAGCAAGCTGCTTTCGATCGTCTGTACACGCGCCATTTAATTCGTGTATTACACAAATCTTTCCACGGAACAGACAGTTTTAAGTGCAAAAGGTGCGAAAGTGCAGAATCACTCCAGCATCCCCTTAACGAAATCCCGCCGCGCCGGACAAACGGGCGCAGATACGTTCGCGAATGGTACACGCGTTATCGTCGGGCACGACGGACGAGAAGGAGGCTGCGGGAAGAAAAGAGAAAGAGAAACTCGTCGGGAGAGGGGGGGGGGCTTATCTTAATCCTTGACTTTCGAAATTCCTCGTCAAGGTGAAGCCCGTCGAGCGAGCCACCGGTGACTTTGTATGCACGTATGGATGAGAGCGTCACGATGACCGTACCTCCGCCGCTACCTGCGAAGACGCAGGCCCGGGATGCGAGCCAGGCCGCTCGGCAGACTGTGTCAATCCGGACCGTTTCCCCTACCGTCTCGCCGCCTCTCGCCAACGGGCCCGGAGCAACGGTATTTGTCGGCGTTAGCGCTCCTACCGCCGATTCCGTGACAACCTGCGGGAGAAGAATCCCGGAAGTGCAATCGGCGAACGGCGGCTGCGAGGAGCGGAGCAACGTCGTCGAGTCGTCGCGGCAGCAACGGTGGCAGCAGCAGCCGCAGCACCAGCACCAGCCGGCCGCGCACATAGTGAAGATCAGGATCAACCCGGACGGCGACAAGAACAGTAGGGTGATATCGACGGTACGGTTGACCCTGGACGAGAACGAGCGGAATCGCGAGGCCGAAAAGAGTAGCGGGCGCGAGCGCCCCGACAGACGCGGGGACGGTGCGGTGGTGGTGTGTGCGACAAACTTGGTGAACGAGCGACGCTGCGCGAGTGCCGGTGTCGGTGAGGGCTGTGTGAGGATCAGTGTCTTCAGCGGCGACCCGGCGACTGGAGCCGACAATCAGGAGCGCAACAACAACAGCAGCAGCAACAACAACAACAACGACAACAACAACGAAGACGACAACAACAGCAGCGACAACGGAGACATGGTGCACCGGGGTACCACGGAAACCCTGAACTCGTCCACCCTCGGTGGCCGTTCAAGCGCCTGTTTCTACTACAACTCGTACCATCAGAGCCCGTTAAGCAGCATGGTGATGTCGAGCGGGCAATGCTCGCCCAGCGACACTTTGGACAGCGGCACCTGCAGCGACCTTGACGGGACGCCGCCGCCGCTGCCGAAGAAGAAGAACGCCAGCACGGTGATACTGTCCAACAGCACGCACAACCGGACCGGGAGCCTGACCAGCAGCGGCGCCGAGGTCGACAGCGACGACAACGAGAGCAACATCAGCTGCGACTCCCTGAACGGAGCCGAGGTGAACGGCGAGGCGAGCGAGTACCGAGTGCACGGGACGCCGAAGGACCTTGAGGAAACGGCGGGCGCAGTCGGGAAACTGGGCCGAGTCACGCTGGCGAACGGCGCCGACGACACGATCGAGAAATCGAGCGGCGGCCAGCGTCACCAGGTCTCGATAACGGAACTCGGCTGCGCGGCGCCGCGCTCGCCGGTGTCGTCGGCCAGCGTCTCGCCGTCGCCGTCCGGAACGTCGTCCCTCTCGAAGGCCTCCTCGACGCCGCGGGTGAGGAGCCCCGAGCCCGCGATCGAGCAGAACGGCCACTCGTCGCCGGTAATTAAGGAGCGCACGTACGAGGAGAGGAAGCAACGGGAGCAGGAGAGGATAGAGCAGGAGTGCGCCAACGCCACTCAGACTCGGTCGACTGGTCACAAATACCTGTACGAGGACGACAGGTACTACAATTTCCACGTCAACGAGTTGCGCGATGATAACAAGAACTCGAACGGCGAGCACGGGGTGGCGGAGAACGACGAGTGCTTCGCCGGTTACAAAATCCACGACAAGGAAGCCATACGAAGTGCCAAAGGGACCGTGCGCGGTGTCAAGAACAGAGTACGAGCGGGCATCGCGACATTCCTGCAGTCGCCTACCTCCAAGGTAGGGAGTCCGCGGAATTAATTCAACTTCCGACACCCTCGCGCGAGACGCAACTCTCGCAGAGAGCGCAAATCGCACCTAACGGCGCAATCGTGTCCGTAAACGTTCGCGCACTGGGAGACCCATTTTGTTGAATGAAACGAGATAATTTGATTGAACCATTTTGTTGACTGATTGTTGACCCACACAGCACAGAAAGATTGCAGAAATGTTACATTGTAAGATTGCAATATTGCAGCGACGTTGCGCAACATTGCTGCAACGTTGAAATGTCCGCCCTCGGAGAGATTGCAGTGCAACATTATAGCAATGTTGCAGCGCAATATTTTTGGAATAATTTGTTGTTTACACAAGCAGAGAATTTACTAATTACATATACATCCGGGCCTTTTTCAATGCATAATAGCAAGCTATTGCGAAGCAACCTAATAGCCGTATCACACTAGCGGTTCGCGTTGGCGTTGCCGTTGGCTGCTGCGTCTCGACCAATCAGAGAATAGCAAAGTATTCTCTGATTGGTCGAGACGCAGCAGCCAACGGCAACGCCAACGCGAACCGCTAGTGTGATACAGCTATAAGGAGGTTATATCGCTTCGCAATAGATGGAGATTGCGAGCAACACCGCACTGGTCAAGTACTTAATAATTCGCGCATTATTGGTATCAACAAAAATAACATTAGAAAATTCTCGTAATTAGAAAAATTTTTTAAATAGAAAATATAGTATTTCCATTATTTTTGAAACATTGCTGCAATATTGCTATCGAAAGTTTGCAATTTTATATCCCTGCAATGTCTCTGCAAGATTGCAACGTTTCTGCAATGTAACCATCTGTGCTGTATGGGAATATGTAATTTGGTTGTATAAAACTATGTTGCTGAAAAGAAGCTACGTCTTACAACTATTTTGTTTCCACGAGTTTATCTGAACAAAATTTTATGGTTGAGATAAATTCGTCCATCTCATCGCGTCCTAAATAATTGCGTTTGTTGCGTCAACTAAATCGTTTAGTTGAATATTATAAAAGAATTCTGCGCGTGTTCACTCAACCAAATTTGCGCGTTGATATAACCAAATTTTCCAATGAGATTTCGTTGTTGTACCAACGGAAATAGGTGTTTGCCCATATATCCAGAGAGAAATTCAGTTGAATCAACTAAATTTTGTTTCATTCAACAAAATGGGTCTGTCAGTGCATACGCACGGAATGCGTGAGGAACGCGGAGCGTGACCTATTTCAGGAATATCGCCCATTGGATAAAAAGCTAAATTATTAATTTAACTTCAAAGGGCGAAAATTAGTTTACCGCGCAACAACATTTGCGTGAGTTTTCACGCATGTGCGGAGCGGCGGAAAGAGAAACGCGATTATTTCAGGAATACTCGTTCGGTAAAGAGCTAAATTATTTATTTAACTCTAAAGAGGAGCGCGGATATTGAGTACCGCGATATCCGTTTTGCTCTTGATAACTCTAATCAATTTACCGAGCAATATCCGTTTTCAAACGCGTGTAAATATAGAGATTGAAAGAACAGTGCGTAAATTTCCAACGAGGACTGCCGGCGTAAATTAATTTAGGTGATAACGCGTCAACAATGTGCGTGTCGGCGAATGCATGCGTGTGCACGTTAGACCCGTTTGCGCGAGAAGGTGGCCGATAAATAATAACTAATGTTTTATTTATGGAGTGTGTAACATTCCTGCTCGCGTTCGCGGCCCCGCGCGCACTTAAAATATCGACCGATCGACGCGGTAGCGGAGCTGAGTAACGATGGGTCGACTTGTTATGCAAATCAGGCGCTGGCGAGTACCTGAGGTGCGTATTGACGAGCCCGGAATCGGCATCGAGCCGCGCCGGGCGCGAAGCCCGTCGGGTTGAACGCTCAAATCCGTGCATCAGGCCTGGGTGCGCACTTGATTCGCATGGTCCGCGCACGGCTCGGCGCGAGGCGTTAGATTTACAGTTAGATAGCCGTGCCGTCCTCCATCGTTCGCCACTTTGAATCAGATGGCATGAATTGGTAACTATATCGCGCGTGTCGAATTCGCATTCCGCGCATCCCCGCCGAAGAAGCAAGTAATCCTGGATAATGACTGATTACGGATGATTGATACATTGACGTGTAATTATTGGCATTGGAAAAAAATCCGTCGAATAAATAAATGTCGGAGGCGGCGAATGTTTGCACGGCGTACGCGTTATAGCTGTTGCGGGGCTCGTTGTTGAAGCGAGAAGAGAAGGAGACGCGAGCGTGATTTATCTCCATCTTTTCTCCCGTGTCGGTGCGTTAGGGTTTTATGACCGATCTGAAATCACCCAAGGGACTCTTCCCTTCTCTTTCATACCACTGTCATAAAATAAATAAAAGCGACGTCAATGGACAGGTTTCCCCGATCCCGCGGTGATCCGCGGCGAGTGATAATCTCCCCGCAACGTCCTTTGACAAATATTTACTATCGTCTTGTCGTTGAACACGGTTTAGTCGTCGCGGTAATCGGCTTACCTGTGGCGTATACGAGCTTATTTACCGTCTACCGGTTATTCGACGCATCTCGCATTAAATTGCCTTCGGTTCCTGGCGAGAGATCCCGGTTATTAAGATCTCGCGAAATGGATTCGCGGCAAGCGGCACGATACGTGTGTATTAGCGCGTCTTTATCGGCAGGTTTCCGGTGTTGCTATGCGAACGTACGCGCGATGCTCGTACCATCGATGCGGAACGGATCGGCCTAACGGTAGATTCGATAAAGCGATATTACGGCAACGTGCTGAGAAACGCGACGTACGCAACGACGTACTGAGACGGCCGCGGCCGCGAGACACCAGGCCGCGTTACGTCCCCACGTTGCTTCGCCTCCTCCGTGTATTCTTCCTCTTTGTTATCGCGCACCCGCGCGCCGGCCCCGTCCATTCCGCTCTCGCTCGTGTGCGGCCGCGCGGCCTATTTCGCGAAATTACAGAGACCGCGGGTACCTCGCCTGCACGCAAATGCGCTGGCTACGGCTGAGAAGTAATCCCGCGGCGCTTCCTCGCGGCTGAATCCCTTGCCTTTGAGACTTCCACGCCTCGATTGCACTTTTCACGTGCAGTCCACCGCGAACGCGCGATTATCCCCGTTCCCCGTGAAAATCGACGCTCGCGACGCAAATGATGACATTTTAATGAGGCGCATTCTGTATCGCGCGTCGCAGTCACTGCCTGGCGCTGCCGGAAACACTCGCCTCGCGACATTACGTCGACTTTATTTCGGGCGCCATCTTTCAATGTACTCTCTGTCGATCGGTGGACTATCACTGAAAACAGTGAATATTCCCCTTGGCAAGCCTTCAAACTTTTACCTTAGAAAGATAAGAAATACGAAAAGTAAATTTGGGCACTTTAAACTTTTATCTAAACTTGACACTGACTCTAAGAATTTAAAAGACAAGAAGACGGCCCTCTAGCGGGAGCTTCGACAGGCTTGGCTATTTCAGAATTACTTAAAAATCTCTTAAGTAAACTTTGAACTTTTGTGGGTAAACTCTTAGATTCGAAAGGTTACTTTTAAAAACTCTAGGTTTATTTCAAGTACATTTTCCCCCGGGGTTCGCTGATTCACAGTTATAAGTGTAGCACTAAATAGGTCAGTGCTGCACTTACAACTGTTTTCAGTGACAATGCGCCGATTGGCTTTTTTAGAGAGTATTCAATAACAGTTGTGCTTACTCGTAATTCACGTGTTATAAATTGTTCCTACAAGCCGACAGTGAAATCAACAGTAAATGAATTCGAAATAACATTTTTGCGAATAAGAAGCACGTAATTAGTCGCGGTGGCTGGTGCGCTTTATGTAGCGTGGCGCATTCTCTGAAAATAGTGACCGAGAGTAACACTTGCACTTTCGGAATGTTCGCTTCAAGCTCGGATAACGATTTGATTGATCGCTACGGAGCGCCGCTGTATGCCAATAGATTGTTTTTTTTTATGCGGTTGATATATTAACCGCACAGCCAAGTAACCGCAATTTACGACATCGAAATGTCGTGCGCGATTTCGCAGGCCGCGCCACTGACCGGTGCGCAAGAAACTTGATTTCACATAAAAAAGAAAAAAGAAATTAAGTAGGTGTACCAAGACTCTTCGACCTGAAATCATAAATATCGCTCCGGGTAAACCACCGTGCAGCGTGCCCTACATTCGTCGCTGCTCGCTTCCTCATTGCACGCGAAAAGGCGCGCAGATTCATCTCGATGCTCCGTGCGCGTCACGCCAAGTATCCTATGCAATGTCACATACCGACGACGTAACTTTTTATTTTCCGCACTAAAAACAAAATTGTCGCTACTAGTGGTCTTAATTGTTCCAAGCTTCGCAACTTCGAAGCTTCGAAGCATCCGAGGAAACAAAGAAACTTTGAATATCAAATTTCCGAAGTTTCGAATATTTGAAGTCAACTAATGCGCTAACATAGAAGTTTTCAAAGACCGATCTGATTTACCATCTGTATCGGTGTTTGTAGGCAGTAAAAAGAAATAGTTGATAAGATAAAATTTATTTCCCTCGATTTAATTGTGTTTTTATGAGCGAATGGACAAATATGTGTCCGACAAAATGTACGTTTGTTTTTTTATACTTTGTAACGACATTAATTAGTTAACAGTTATAATAAAAACGATTAATTTTGCAAAGTTTGCTATTGTTTTTATCTTGTTAATACATTAGTTGACTTCGAAGATTCGAAGCCTCGAAATTGAAAATCTTCGAGGAAAAATGCCAGCTCTAGTCATTACCGTAGCTAATCGTGGTTTGCGAAAAATATTTTGCCGCTATAAATTTCGAAGCCGCAGCAAACGGTTTGCTGTCGCACGTAATACAATAGGCACAGTTTGGAAAATATTTAGCTATGAGAATTAATTGTTAGCCGTCCATATTTTGCAACTGAAATTTCGCTGCCACGTGCAGTTTTTAGTTACATTTTTTCCCGTGTGCTACAATTTATTTCGCTAGGGAATCGTAAT